ACACACCACACACACCACACACACCACACACACCACACACACCACACACACCACACACACCACACACACCACACACACCACACACACCACACACACCACACACACCACACACACCACACACACCACACACACCACACACACCACACACACCACACACACCACACACACCACACACACCACACACACCACACACACCACACACACCACACACACCACAGACACCACACACACCACACACACCACACACACCACACACACACACACTACGCCCACTGACTCGGACCTCCAGGTTCGCTCGACACTGGGAGCTCGCCGCGGTTGGTTTGACAACCGAGGCACAGCCGCAGGAAACGCTGTTAATCATGTCCATTTAGTGTACGTATAAAGCGTGTGATTTCGGAAAACATGCTGTCGATAAGCGTGATAAAACACGATCCGCAATCTTACCTTTAACCTGCTTCGAAGGCCTTCCACGCGAGGATGCGGATTTTCATAGCGAAGCACGTCTTGGCTGCAACGCACTTCAATTACTGTCGTGCCGGCGTCACACTGGGTACCTGTTTAGCTTTCGCGCACCGCGCGGTCTACGATGTCGAACGGACAAAACTGAGCGCTGCATGCCGTAAGCTTCTCACACAATGTCGGGCCACCTGGTGGGATCGATTGGACCAGCTGGTGGCATGCGGTGTTGCATACGTGGCGCGAGCGTGCATCTGACCAATTCGGAGGCATTGAAATCAGATTGTGGAAGACCGTATTGCATCGCCCAATCTGGATCTGTCCCAGGTGCGGCGCCACTATGCAAATTGTTGTCACGTGTTCTTGGATGTTAGTCGCCTGCCCGGAACAAGTTGCAAGGACGACCGCCCGAAACTTTGGAACGCGATGTACAATGTTTCTGCACATGCATGTGCGATCGGCATTTGGAAGGTAGCAGCCAAAGACACACACACATAGACCCGGGACTGTATGCCAGGAGTTCATCATTCCAGGAGCGTCTGTTCGTGTCCACCCTGCCCCTTCGACTCGGGTCCCTGCCCAGGCTCGGCAAGTGCTGCAAAGCTTGCTTCGAAATCCGCTGGGGCCCTGCCATGCGCGCATCCGCTGGCACCGTGGACGCGGCAAGGAGGAGGATGTCCCGCCCGCCCGCGTCCCGAGCGGCCGCCCGCCCCTTCCGCGGGCACGCAGGCCCGACCCCGACACTCTACGACTCCTTCTCCGAGGGCTACCCTGCCTGCCCTCGCGCAGAAGAGCGCGTGCACAGCTGCCCATCCCCCAGGGCGGCTGTCGCGCACGAGGCCCACCCTCGGCGCATTTTCTGCGGCCGCGTTGGCTCCACGCCTGGGCACGCCGTCTGCACGCCGACGGATGCGCGTGCGCACCCGCGCTGGCGCTGCAGGCCAACGGGCGCGCGTGCACATTCGCACCGCCGCCCGCCAGCTGCTCGGCGCTGCCCGCGCCCGTGTGCGCAGCGCTGCGGGCCACGCGGCCCGCCGCCCAAAGTGGCGCGCCGCGGGGGCCGTCACAGATCAGCCTTGCCTTGGACTGAGAACCGGCTGCCCTTCCACTCGGAGCCCTGGTACGGGTTGTGGAACCTGCCCCAGTCCGAGAAGTTGTCCCAGCTCGCTCTGCTGGAGACACCCAGGCGGTGCCACTGCGTCAGCGTCGTCTTGTTGCCCGCCATCACCGGGCACGCCGCGTGCATCGCCTCTGTCTTGGGGTCGGGGTTGTACGCGAAGAAGAGGACATCGCCCCGGCGGGGCTGGAACTTCAATTTTTCGCCGTTCGTGAAGACAGTCGCGCCGCCCTCGTCGGCAGCATCGCAGTAGATCAGCGTTGTCGCTATGCGGTTTCCAATCGGCTGCGAGCGCTTCGAAAGGAAAAGGTTGCCATCAATGTGAGGCCGGTACTCGTAGCCCTTCATGTAGTGGAGGAATGTTAGCGGCTCTTGGCCTTCATACGGCACATCCACGTCTAAGAGGTCGGAGGCCAGGTCGAAAGTCCGGGAAGACACGAGACTTCGTGCATCCTCGACGTTCCAGTCCACGTCTATGCTGTTCGTCAGCGACTCCCGCGCAGAGCTGGTCCGTGTGAAGCCCTGGCCCGAGCTGACGTGCGCCATGGCTAGAGGCCTCCCAGATGGGGGTCCGAGCAGATGGGTCGAGGGAACGCGCCGCATCGCCAGTGCATGGCCGATGCATCGGCGATGCATCGGCGACGCATCGGCGACGTCGGCGACGCATCCGCAATATGTCGGCGTACGGAAATTCGAGCTCCACATCGACCCGCATCGCTGAGGTCTGCTTAGAGCTCTTAGAAGGAGCTCCAGCTGGATAGATGCGACATATTTCAGATTTACACCAACATAATATATATATATGTATGTATATATTATGTTATGCTAGTATATACATATATATATATATATTATACTCTATTGTATTGTATTATAGAATTCTATATACTATATTATATTATATAATATTATACTTCATTGTAGTATATTATATAATATGGTATTACATTATAGTATCTTATGTTATGTTATATCATAATATATTATATCATGATGCATTTTCAATATTATATTATATTGTATTGTATTAAACTATATTATATTATATTATAGTATATTATATTATACTATATTTTAAAATACCATGATGTATGATATTATGTTAAATCATAGTTTCGTATAGTATATTATATGATAGTATATGATATGATATGATATGATATGATATTATGTTGTATCATATTATAATGTATTGTTTTGTATATTATTATATTATAATATATTGTATCATGTTGTGTAACATCATATTACAGTTTGTTATAGTATGTTATATAAATTATAATATACTATAGTATACTATCTTGTATATATTATATGATACTATATTATATGATATGATGCTAACTTGTATTACAGTATACTATATTATATTATGGTAAATTATATTATAATATCATATGTCGTATAATATATTATGATATTATATTATATGGTATTATGTTGTATCATAGTATATTATGATACAATATATTATATTACAGTACAGTATATTCTATCAAATAATATTGTATTATATTATATTATATTATATCATGTTCTATTATATTATATCTTATTTCATTATATTGTATTATATTATATTGCATTAGATGTATATAGTATGTCGCATCGGCGATGCGGCATCGCCGATGCATCGATGCGGCGCGATCGTCCGACCCCATCTGCTCGGACCCCATCTCGGAGGCCTAGAATGGTCAGGCCGCTCATCTGCGCCGCCTCGATGAGCTCCTTGCACTCGGCCTCGCTCGCGAAGCCGCGCACGGCTGCCACCAGTGGAAACTCGCGGAAGACCTCCAGGCTGTGCGCAGTCCTCGTCCGCTCCATCCGCAGGGCCTGCGAGGGCTCCTGGGCCACGCACAGGTCCCAGAAGTCCCAGGGGTCCTGGACCTTGCACACGTCTGGAACATTTGGATTCCTAGAGGCCTCCTAGATGGGGTTGGAAAAGATGGGGTCGGAGGATCGCGCCGCATCGCCGACACATCGGCGATGCGCCGGCGATGTATCGGCGATGCACCGTCGATGCATCGGCGACGTCGGCGATGCACTGGCGACGTCGACCGAAAGCAGACCGGGCTCCACATCGAGCCGAGTCGGCGATGCATCGGCGGTGTGGCGCGATCCTCCGACCCCATCTACTCCGACCCCATCTATCGGGGATGGACAGACCTCCCTTTAGCAAACGTGGTTTAGTGAAAACGACCTGAGGCCCAAACCTGGCGGGCGCAAGCCTGGAAAATAACGGCCACGGCGCCCTCTCGAGAAGTGAAAACGGACAATTCACTAATCGACGTGCCACTGTTGGGGGCCCTGCCCACCCCCGAATCTGGGAGGCCCAGAGCTCCAGCTGCTCCGGAACAGGCGCTCCACGAAGTCCTCGGGCGCGATGCCGCCGAGGAACCTCCGGGCCACGCAGGCCCACTGCGCCTCGCGGGCTCCCGACAATCGTCCGTGCCCTCGGCCTCGCTGACTACCTACCAGACCACCCCAACCCAACCCGAAGACCCGAATTTCGGGTTGGGGGGGGGGTATGGGCTCCACATGTGTTTTTTCGATGTTCCCGGACCCCCCCCTACTAGAAATCGAGGGTAAATCAGACCCTTCGGGTTGGGTTGGGGTGGTTTGGTGGGTGGAGACTCGCGGGCCGGAGCCCCTGGGCCGCGACGCCCACGGCTACGGGGCGCTTCCTCGTGCATCTCCCGCGCGGCAGGCGCCCCGTGCGGCCGCGTGTGCACGGGAGCGCGCCCGGGGGATGCCCAGGCCGCGAGGGCGCGGACCCAAGCCCCAGAAGTCGTGGTTTTTGCACAGCGTCGAGCCACAGAGCTCGAGGAGGAGGAGGAGGAGGAGGAGGAGGAGGAGGAGGAGGAGGAGGAGGAGGAGGAGGAGGAGGAGGAGGAGGAGGAGGAGGAGGAGGACCCCTTCCCCAGGACCAGTTTTTCCTCCCGAGTCGTTTTTTGGCTGGCCCTGGGGCCTGGTGGTGGGCCCCGGTGGCCGAAAATGAAGAAACACCTCCCGTCGTGACTTTTTCGCCACGCGAGGGGGTCCGGGAATACCGGTGCGTTCGCCGCTCGGGAGCGCCCTCGGGCAGCCCACGGCAGCTCTGCCGAGGTCCGTCTGCAGGTCGTTGGCGTCCACGGCCCGGAAGCCCTCGTGGTCCGCCACCAGGCCCGTGTGCAGGCTGGCGGGGCCCTCGGGCATCTGCACCGTGTGCTCGCCGTCGTAGAAGATCCTGAACACGGCCTCGTTGGGCCCCTTCTGGAGCTCCGTGAAATCACCTGACAGGCGATCGAGAGCGGGTCTTACGCGAGATGGCACAGCGACCCGATTCGGTCGCTTACGCGGGCCGCCCGAGCGGCACGCTACCCTGGAGAAGAGGGCGCTTACGCTCGACCTTACGCGGGCAGCTCACGCGCCAATGTCGGCACAAACGGCCTTCTTTTTTTGCGTCGCTCACCTGGCTTGAGAGTGTAGGGCCCAACGGTCAAGTCGTGCACGCCTCCGTTGGCCATGAAGAAGACGCCACCGCTGCGCGAAGGGAGCCAGAGCGCCAGCCCCAGAGTCATGGGCCGCGTCGGGAATGGCATCGTGGTGGGCGCTCGGGGATCCGCACGGGCCAGCGCAGATCAGATGAGCTCAACCATCCGGACGACCTCGAGCCAATGGCTACGTACCTCGCATGTTGGCGATCTTCTTGTCAGCGCCGGGCTGGACGCCGGCCGCGGGCCGAGTGAATCGTGCCCTCTGCTCTCCAGTCGTCCGAGGCCAGGGGGACGGCCCCCCCCCGTTGTCCAAGGGACTGTTTCCTGTAGTCCAAGGATGGGGGGGGCCATTGTAGTCCTGGGGGGGTCCGTGTAGACTGGGCCGCGCGTGAACCCTTTTCTCGCGCACGCTGGCCGAACACGGCGCCCCTCAAGCGCAGCGTCACGCGCAGAACGTGCAGCGCAAACAGCAAAGGGCCGTTCTGGGGTGGTCGTCCCAAGGTGGCCCTGGGAGGCGCTTTTCCATTGGACGCTCTCGCCCCCTCTTCCCTGAGGCGATCAAAGGCTTTCCAATATCGCAAACCCGAGCTGAACAGATCCAGGTCGTAATCGAACAGCTCCCCTTTGATCCCTCCCCCGGTGTGGGTGCCAACTACTTTCACATCTTGTTGGGCAAACTGTCCCGCCACCTGACATGATGGATCAGGCTGGTCCGATCATCAACACCATCGGCGCCATCAGCCGGCGAGGCGCGCAAGATTTCCACCACCGACTGCCTGCTGTCCCGCAGGTCTGCCTCGCGCAGAAGACGCGAACGGCGACCGACAAAGATGCGTCGGACCACGTGCTCTTTCAGTCTGGCTGCTCGCACCGGGCAGACAAGTTTGCCGCAGCGGAATTGGCAAGCTGTCCTCAGCCGTCATTGGTGTCAGTCGCACACCCGAGGCTCCTGAGGCATGATCTGGTTTCGCCGGCGCTGGTTTCACCCCGCTGGTTTCGCCGACGGCTGGTTTCGCTGGCGCTGGTTTCGCCGTCGCTTGTTTCGCCCCGCTGGTTTCGCCGGCGGCTGGTTACGCCAGCGGCTGGTTACGCCGGCGGCTGGTTTCGCCAGCGCTGGTTTCGCCGACGCAAGCCCGAACGGGCGGGTCGGGTCGGGCGGGCGGGACAAAAAAATGTGGGGCGCGCTCAACCGAACACGCGCGAACCTTAACAAAAGTCGGGTCGGGCGGGCGGACCCTAACGGGCGGGTCGGGTCAAGTCGGGCGGGCGAACCCTGACGGGCGGGTCGGGTCGGGCGGGAGGGACATTAAAGTGTGGGGCGCGCTCGACCGAGCCCGCGCGAACTCTGACGGGCGGGTCGGGTCGGGCGGGCGGACCCTGGCGGGCGGGTCGGGTCGGCTCGGGCGGGCCGACCCTACTGGGCGGGTCGGGTCGGACGGGCGGGACATTAAAATGTGGGGCGCGCTCGACCGAGTCCGCGCGAAACCTAACGGGCGGGTCGGGTCGGGCGGGCGGACCGTACCGGGCGGGTCGGGCTGGCGGATCCTGGACGACGGGTCGGGTCGGGCGGGCGGAACATCAGAGTGTGGGGCGCACTCGACCGAGCACGCGCGAACCTTAACGGGCGGGTCGTGTCGGGCGGACGAACCCTGACGGGCGGGTCGGGTCGGGCGGGCGGGACATTAAAATGTGGGGCGCGCTCGACCGAGCCCGCGCACCCCCTAACGGGCGGGTCGGGTCGGGCGGGCAGGCCCTACCGGGCGGGTCGGGTCGTGTTTGGCGGGCGGACCATAACGAGCGGGTCGGGTCGGGCGGGCGGGACATTCAAGTGTGGGGCGCGCTCGACCGACGGGCGGGTCGGGTCGGGCGGGCGGACCCTAACGGGCGGGCCGGGTGCGGGCGGGGGCGCGCTCGACCGATCACGCGCGAACTCTAACGGTCGGGTCGGGTCGGGCGGGCGGACCATAGCGGGCGGGTCGGGTCGGGCACTTTCGCCGACGGCAGCTGGTTTCGCCGTCGTCAGCAGGTTTCGCCGACGGAGCTGGTTCCGCCGACGTAACTGGTATCGCCGGGCGGCGAAACCAGCCGGGCGAAACAAGCCGTCGGCGAAACCAGCGGTCGCCGCTCCCGAACGGTACAGCGCCTGCGAGCTGCCCTTTCTTGAGCAAGGACCGACAGTCCCGGCGCTCCTATAGGCCTACAGCGATACGTTCGTGAAGCAACAAATTCTTTTATAAACCGCAGACATGCTCTCAGGTCAACACAGGGGACCGATCCCCCGCGGCTGGCTTTAAACATGTCTATTCGGGGGGGTCAGAAACCAAGGGGCCCATTTCCCCTCTGCCACCCCCCCAAGACGAGGTCCGCATCCCACCCCCCCGGGAAAATGATTCGTATGGGGCCAACGGCGTTGTTCAAAATAGCGGCCATGTTCGTGGTGGTGGTGGTGGTGGTGTTCATGATGATGAGATTAAGCATCATCGTCATAATGAGCATCACCATGGACATCGTGAAAATCATCAATATCATCCGTATCTCCAGTATCATCGTGAGTACCACCATCATCAGGATCATGATCAATGTCATCATCATCATCATCATCATCAGCACCATCATCGTCAGCATCACCATCATCGCCATCATCATCATCATCATCATCATCATCATCATCATCTTCACCATGCCCATCATCATCAACAACAACGCCCTCCTCCTCCTCCTCCTCCTCCTTCTTCTTCATCATCATCATAATCATCCTCCTCATTCTGGCGACGACCGTGCGTCCTGCACTCCCTCCCTCCCCCCCAGAGTGCGCAGCTGAATCCAGGCCCCTCGTCGCCGCTCGTCCCGGCCAGCTTTGCTTCTTGACGGGGGGAGCCGACAGCGCTTGGCAGCGCGCCGTGTGGGGGGTTCCACTCGCCGCCACGCGCTCGTTGCCACGCGCTCCTGAGCGGCAGCGCGCGGGCGCTCTTCCCTCTTCTTCCTGTCAGCCCAGCATGCCCAGCCCTACCCTACCCAAAGCCAGGGCAGGCCAGAGGGGGCGCGCGCTGCTCGGGGGAGGTGGGCGGCGCGCGCTCGTGGCGGGGCTGCCCTCTCTCGGACTGCCGCAGGACGCGCTGGCAGCTAGGCTTTTTTCCATGCGCGGGAGCGACGAGGCGCCATCCTCGAGGCGACCGCGCCCGCCCCATAGGGGCGACGCGCGTCGTCATGTGCGACTGGGGCAAAGTCTTGGCGACCATTACGCGCCTTCCGCTGATGGTCGTCATTTTCAACAGCACCCGTCGGACCCCCCGCTCCCCCCCACCAGGAAGTTATTCGGAGGGGTCCAGAGACCGCCCCCTTCCCCCCCCATTGGAAAATTGCTCGCGGGGTCGCTCACCCACCCCCGCGGGGCAGCGACGACGACGTCGTCGCCGCCGCCGGCAAACGACGCGCACGACGTCGCCAACGAAGACGACAACGACGACGAAGACGACGATGACGACGACCACGACGACGGCGGCGGACAACGACGACGACGACGACGACAACGAGGACGACGACAAGGACGAGCGAGGACGAGGACGAGGACGACGGACGACGAAAACGACGAGGGCGCCGAGGAGGAAGACGACGAGGACGCCCACGATGACGCCGGCGACGTCGACAACGTCAGCTGCGGCGACGGCGGATCCCCTGTCGCCGCCGCTCGAGCCAGGCGCGGGCTCGAAGTGTTACTGGGGATCAAAAATAAAACTTTAACAACATGCGATTGGAGGTCGCTCCACCTCTCACTCCCTCCTCCTCCCTCCTCCTCCCTCCTCCTCCCTCCTCCTCCCTTCTCCTCCCTCCTCCTCCCTCCTCCCTCCTCCTCCCTCCTCCCTCCTCCTCCCTCCTCCTCCCTCCTCCTCCCTCCTCCTCCCCAGAATCCTGCCGGGGCTGGATCTAACTCTAAATAAGGAGGTCCACAGATCCACCCCCATAACAAGCACCCCGGCACGCGAAGCCGTTTCGCAAGCGCGACCACCGATGGAATCAAACAGGACAGGACTGGTTAGTAAACGCCCAGGGCCGTTTAGGAAACGCCAATTGTCCGGTCTGGGTGATTTCTCCTCTCTTGACTAACAGAATCATTATGGGGCTGTGTCCAGCTCTGGCCCAATGGAATCCTACGAACCAGGGCTCGATCAAACTCAGATAAAAAATAAAGTCCTCCGACGTTTCAACCCAGTTCTAATAGCATCCTGCAACTAGGGCTGGATCCAGCTCTCGTGCCCGATTAGTGTTCGGTCCAGCTTCAACCGCATCCCATCAGGGCCCGAACGTCGTCGTTGTCGGCGTCGTCGTAGGCGTCGTCGTAGGCGTCCTCGTCCTCGTCCTCGTCCTCGAAATCGTCGTCGTCGGCATCTTCGTCGTCGTCGTCGTTGCTGGGGGGATTCGGATCTTTCCGGGGAGTTATTTTCCTGGGGGGGGGCGGGGGTCCGTAACTCCCCCTCCCGCCCTGGTTTGAGGGGGGCGGTTTGGCCACCCGCACTGCAAGCAGCGGCAGAAATCGCTCTTTAGAGCGTACAGGCGATGTGTCAAACCAAGACGGTCTCAGCCAGAAACGTTCTAAGAACATGGTGTGCGTACCTCAAAGGTCCTCAGAACATTCTTCGGTGGGCTCTAAAACGGGCCAAGACGCTTCGCTACTGCTGGACTCACTTGAGCTGACTTCAAGACCACGCCGCGTCCTCCTGAGGCCTCCGGATGCCACTGGAAGCCTCCGCAGGTCCTGGGAGGGCCTTCAAAGCGAGACCAGCGGCAGCCGCGGCGCGCGCGCGCGTGGGGTTGTCGCCTCGTCGGCGGCAGCCGCGGCCCGGCGCGCGGTAGCCGCGCGGCTGCCGCATCATCCGGGCTCGGCCGCCTGGGGGAAGCGGCATCTGGGGTCCGTCACCGCACGGCCTTGGGGCCCGTGGGAATAACACACACACACAAAAAAAAAACACAACACACAAAACACACTGTGGTAAAACACACACACACAAACACAGACACAGACACAGACACAGACACAGACACAGACACAGACACAGACACAGACACAGACACAGACACAGACACAGACACAGACACAGACACAGACA